TTATCGAATTTTTTTTTGTGGCTTAACAACTTTTATGTCCACTTAAACACTGAAATACGTTGTAAATTTTGCGGAGGAACATTGATTAGAGGCACAACAAATGTAAAATTTCAGTTTCCAAAGACTCGCTCAAGCTATGGAAGTCGCAAAACTTTGAGGGCCATTTTCTCGTTAATTTTACCTCTAAAACCAGAGGACCCCCACCTCCTTCTATCAGAAATTCTCAACTTCTATTCAAGATAGATGGGTATTTTTCCCCCGAAGGTAAGGCAAATGTACAGGCTTTAAGATGATGCCAATATCTCCACATGCCCCAAAAGTGACGAGCGCCTGATTCCACCATGTCGGGACACAAATCTATTTCATTACGTCCAAATTACATTGAGAGTTTTTCGATTTCTACACTCTACCATAGCGCTATCAAAAGTGCGCCTTTTCAGTTAATGCTTTGGTCAAGAAGGCTTACAATTTTCTTGATAGTTCATGATTCGTGATAGGAACAATGCTACAAAAACTAGCTTGGGGGGGGGGGTTGGTGTAAATGGCTCTTTTTTTTTTGTTTGTTCTTCTTTTTGCTTTCCGTTTTGTTTTGTTTTTGGGTTTTTTGTGTGTGTGCGTTTGTGTGTCATTATTTGTTTGTTTGTTTGGTTTGGTTTTTTGTCTGTGGTGTAAAAAGTATCCCAACAGACGTACGCGGATTGCGCGCGACACTTTGTGAAAACCTGAAACAAAGAAAGTGTGTTTCCAAACTCGTATGTTTATTTTTTTAGATATTGCTCAACCCCTCGGGTGGGGGGGGGGAGGGTCTGGTGGTAACGCCCATGACATTAGCGAATCAGTCAGCTGAAACACTTTTGATTCATTACAATCTTTTATATCTCCCATAGTGATGAGTCGGGTGATTTTTTTTTAATTCACCCATTTCAAGAGATGAGGGTGTATTTGGCTATAAATAATTTTTCATCAGCTATGGTTCGTGAACATAATGGCGTTTCGCTGAAATTGTATAAATTATGCAGGTATTAGGATCTGGTTGACTTTCTCCTACCTCATTTAAATTTAATTTTCTTTACAGGAAATTAAATATCCTGAAGAGCGGACCAAGTCTATGACACTAGTACTTAGTTTACATATAAAGGGAAACGCAAATGACGTAAGCAATTAGAATAGCATTAATTTACTAAATATTCTTGGTAACTTGTTATCAGTCATTCTAAACAAAAGACTGCAGTAATGGCGGGATGAAGGTAACCTCATCTCTGAATCTCAGGCCGGTTTAAGCACTTCACGGCCAGACCCGAGAATTGAGTCAAGAGTAGGTCTAAGGGTAAGAGCGCATTCCTGAGACTTTTCACAAATCCCAGAATTCATTGAAGGCGACTTTTTTTCTTTGAAGTAAGTGGTTTGGTCACGTCTTTGTCCGCTCTCAGCCGCCGACGCCATCAATCCCACAATATTAGCGACAGTGAGCTCATCTCCTTGAGACCTTTGTATTTACAAAACAACCCTTCCCTTCACACTCTTAAAATCCTTTTTTTTCTCTCAAACTCTCGAACTTGTGGATCAGATGAAGGAAAACTAATTACCTACCCTTGGAGATTAAAATAAGAACACCCAGACATGCAGAAATACGACCAGTAAGTGAAAATATAACCAGAGCATTACATAGAATTGGGAAGATTGTATTTTATCAACTAGCGAAAATGATTATATTACACAGTACACAGTATAGTCTTCTTGAATTAAGCTCATGGGGTTTGGCATGGCGTATGCAAATGTACAAACCAATAAAATTAACCATTGTGCTCATTTTAATGTAAAAGAGTATGTCATTAATTTCGCGTCCCTTCAACTGCATACTTCATGTTGCCCAGGTGCAGCATTTGTGTTACTAACCCCTAACCCACTAACCCCTATGGGGTGAGGGGGATGAGTGGGGGATGAATGGGAATGGGTATTGGGAAGGGTATGAGGAGAGAGAGAGGGGGGGTGGGGTATTGGGGAAGTTGGGGTCGGTTACGGCATAAGGGATGGGTTAAATAGGGTATCGGTGAGGCGTTTAATAGGGTACGGGTGAGGCGTTTAAAGGTGAGGGACTTGAGGTTGAGCAGAGTATAGGGGAGGGATGAGAGGTATGTTGGGAGGCATTTGGGGTTGGGTATAGGATAAAGGGTAGGGGTATGAGGAGAGAGAGAGGGGGGGTTGGGGAAGTTGGTGTTGGTTACGGTATAAGGGAGGGGTTAAACAGGGTATGGGTGAGGCGTTTAAAGATGAGGAACTTGAAGTTGAGCAGAGTATAGGGGAGGGATGAGAGGTATGTTGGGAGGCATTTGGGGTTGGGTATAGGATATAGGGTAGGGGTATGAGGAGAGGGGGAGGTTGGTTAGTGTACGGGGATAAGTAATTACGGCAGGGGGGGGGGGGGGGGGGTGCGGTTTTGGAGCAGGATGTGAAGGGTTTAATTGTTCGGGGTAAGGATTCTATCCCCATCTTCCCCATTTCCCCGCCCCTCCACAGACACAAAAGGACATCAAGCTATACATTCTGATACTGACCGTCTAGACACCAAGACACACAGAATCGGGTGCTTTTAATAAATATGTTTGTGACATAAGAATTCGCTTCTACTTTTAGTCCAAACAGAGAGGCTGAGACAGTCTCGGGCCGGGCAGTGAATGGGTTAAGACTAAATTATCCTACCATAGGCAATTTTTTTTTCGCTCCAGTCTTTAGTTTAAAAATATATCTCCAGGCCTGTTGGAAAATTCTATGTACGTTTTTTTCTACCTTTTTAAAATATTTGACTATGTTGGGAGGCATTTGTGGACAATAGTAACTCAGAAGAATAAGGGTAATTAAAATTCTATGTAACTTAATAATTTATTGCACATTACATGTAAAACAAAGCTGCATATTTAGCCCTGTATTAATGTTGTTCCTTTCTCAACTCGAAAAATACCTTTCAGAATCAAATGCCCATGCTATGCAAGTGTTGCCCAATTGTGACTAGGTCTATGGTATTTTTTGTTTAACGCACGTTGATGATCTAAGAAGAAAGGCATAATATTACATGATTTCTATTAGATGTAGGCTTTAAAATAGATTGTGAAACGCACAGAGCTTGCTGTTGAGTGGGGATTTGTGCTATACGAATGCTATTTGTTATTATTATTATTAAAAGTGAATAATGAGAAAAGTAGGATTTTTGTTTTTAGGAATTGAGGCTATCTCAAAGAGAGATGGTATTTGGGAGGGTAAGAACTTAAAGACCTTAAAGATCTATTAATATAGTGTAAAGCGCATAGAGCCTGCTGCTGAGCGGGGATATGCGCTATACAAATGCTATCTATTATTATTATTATTATAGTTACTTAGACATTTCATGTATATCTTGTCTATGCTAAAGGCGATCGCTGGAATATCAAGACTGTTAAGCTCAGCGGGTTGTTTCTCCAACAAGATGGCATGTCCAGCTCATACCAAGAATTCGATTTTGAACCCACAAAAAATAACAATGTTAATATATAGATTAAATCAAAACTGCTTTATCGCTCTGAAAGATGAGGTACCAAAAATTGGGACGTGATTGGCAATGTTCAGGTAAAATTCTGGAAAGCATTTCTGGGTCTCGGAAAAGTTACAACCAAGTGTTAAGATCTGAGAGAGGTGAGAAGAACGTATTTGCTTTCTCATTATATGCAATTATTGTGTCATCAAATTCTGGAGCAGATTTCTACCCTTTAAAAATGGCATATTTAAAAAGAAATGTCACTAGAATTATATCGCTCTAGTGAATTAGGCAGAGTAAACTGCGGCTACCTGAGTTAAAAGCCTATAATTTCCCCTGGGGTTTGGATATGCCTGGTTTCCTCAGAGTGTTGGAAGCGATAAGTTATTTCTCAGTGAAGCAAAAAGTAGGCTCGTTGAACATTCCATGCACAACACTGAGGGAGAATTATGCTGCATGTGTAATTTATTCTCTCTTACAATTCCGTTTCAAGAAACAGCAGAGTATAGAAAAATACTATAATAACAATCTTTATTCATCTCGCAGGGAGAAATTTGTCTTGGTCGTTAACAATGGCAGTAGACGTTACAAAAGTTAGGCTTAAAGGTGCACTCACGCAAACGCACAACAAGACAGGACATAGGCCAAGTAAATACATGTCTCACGGGCTGGGACAACCCG